TAGGGTTTATGCATCCCCTTTCCGCGGCTAATGATAGATGTGCACATGAGTGAGTTATTGTTATGATTGTTAGGAGATGAGACATGATGATGATTGATTTATATTCATGCTGCGACCATACCATCTTTACATGTTATTATGTGCATAGTAGTGAGCACTACTTTATCATTTGTGCTCATTCCCACCTGCTCTTCACGGATGCAGGTTAAGCAGTGGCCGGGTGACGAGATGAAGGACGAGTGGTGGTTTATTATTTGTTTTATTTTGCTTCCGTTTTAATAATATGGTCTCGATGAACCCTTTGTGTTTTGGACATGTGAAAATCGTTTTCGAACTATGTTTTGATGTTTGAAGATATTTTGAAAAACCCTTTTGAACCTTGAATTATCATGGTGTTTGATTTTTAAAGTTTCAGTTGTTCATATGGGATATTATGTTAAGATGTGAATCAAGTTAATGAAAAACCTTGTGAAAATCGGGTTTATGAATCCCCGTGAGTCCAGATAAGACTTGGACTAAGTAAAATGTGTTAGTTAATGCCCTTGATTTCGAAAAGGAATTTGAAAAATTTGTTTTGATTTTTAGAAAGTCCGGAATTTCTTTAAAATCAAAGTGGGGTGTTACACTAAAGCAATAGCAAGAAAAGAATCTTCCACTAAAACGTTTACCAATGGGGTTTAGATCAAACAAACTTTTTGGTCTTAAACGAATTCAAAAGTTTCAAGGTCTTAAAAAAATAGCAGGGTATAAAACCGAGTTCCAAGTCCACTTCATTTTTACAATAACACACACTAACACGCAAAACACTCAATGCTGAAGACAAGCAAAAATCTTCAAAGGAAACGAATGAGGCTCTCCAGTCGAGAATGGTACTAGGTCAGCGGCTCCTTCGAGACACCAACTAGTTAGCTTATTTCGGCTCTTTCGACTAACAACGTCGGCCGTCACATCAGCTCTTCCTCCGGTAGCTAATCATGCCAGCAGTCCTGAACGAGCTCTACTCATCTGCATTGCCTAACATTTACATCTCCAGGTCCAAGAGAAAAGCATTCTTTCATCGAAATGACCTTGATCGCATCTTCGGTTATTTCCCGCTACATCTCGGAGTGCTTAATTTATATCGTCGCTGCAGAATTACCACTAGATATTTTGTCACAGTCACCATTGTGTTGCGTAACACGAAAAGAATCACTATTCGATTGCAGATATTTTCACCGGTTTTTAGATTCCTTTTTGATACGTCGACTCCTCGATCTTCGGCTGATGGTACATCGGTCTCGGATCGGTCTCCAATGATCTTGCAGTTGTCTTCAGTTGCTTGAGCAGGTCTTCACTTCGCGATAGTAGTTGATCATCCTTCCTCTTCTATCAGTTAGGTTTACGACTGTCGATGTGTAGCCTTCATTACCACGAAACCGATTGGCTCCTCTAGTATTCTGGTTGGTCGTATCTCACTTTCTCGTCTGGTGGCTGTTTTGCAGTTTCTCCGGACTACTCATAGATGCATTCGAATGATTGGTGCGTCTCAGAAATGATTCAACTTGTCATCAATAACGATAAAGATAATTTGGTTCGGATGAATGGAATCTTCAAACACAACTGAAAGAATGATATAAGACAAGCAGGAAGCCGGAAACACTTGTCTTAATTAGTACATCAGGTCATAAACTTGATCTCGAAACTCAAGCGAACAAGAACAAACGCAAGGTTTTTTTTAAGGGTTTTTCAAAAGTCCAAGGAAGTGAAAGAAAATTCTCCCAAAGGCCAAAAAGAGATTAAAGAACAAAAACTTGCCAAAGTTTACAACGAAAAGTAAATTTGAGAATATAAGCGGCTATATGCTTCACAATACACATGCTCCAGGCTCAACTACTCTCCTTAAAAGATCCTTCATAATCTTTTAAGGTACACACCTTCTTCGCAATTATCAAAGACTCCCGATCGGAGGAAACCATTTTTGATGAAACATACGAGTCGATAACGACCTGATAAATGATCATCATTGGCCTCCAGGTTACGATACCCAAGAGAGTTACGATGACGTTCGCAATTCCTATTACACGGACTCGGAGTTATCGCAAACAACAACATCAACCTTGCAACAAATAAGGTCTAGCAGAAAACAGACTGCTTACCCTTATCTATATACAAAGCCTTTAAACAAAGTTAGCTTCACACATAAAACACATAAAATTTCACAATCGATTAAAAGATAATACACAAGAATGGAAAATTAATAATCAACACACAATCTCGATTTCCCGGTCAGTCGTCCACTCCTTGCTCAGTTCATCCTTGAGATTGGCGTTAGTAACATTCCATCGATTAACAGAGCTCCTTGGCATCGGTCGATAACTCGTTCGAAGTTTTAAATCAAAATCATCATACTCAAAAGATTGGATTTCACCACTGTTACTCCGGTACACTTGTCAGCTGCTCCAGACGTTTGAGTGATCCCGCACATTCAAAATTTCTCGGTTATCTAATCTTAATAAGGTATCCTGACGTTGGTCACCAGAAAAGCTATGGTGCATATACGCAAATTTCAACTATTAAAGAGATAGCCCGCTCAAAATGCTAACTCGAACTCATAGAGAAATCTCTAGAGTCATAACTAGTTCCCAAAAGCGCCTAGAGTTCACCCAATAAGCACTAGGATTCGAAATATACCAAGGTGGATAGTCCTAAGCCCCATGTAAAATATATAAAACAACAAAACTCATACCTCGAGTTGGCGCGGCGAGGCGAAAGCGAGTGGTCAATGGCCATTACATACACTAACACTAGAGATAGTCTACAGAAACGCAGACTAGCTCTGATACCAAACTGTAACACCCCACCTTGATTTTAAAGAAATTCCGGACTTTCCAAAAATCAGTGTAAAATTTTCAAAATCATTTTCGAAAATTCAATGGGTGTTAAACAACATTTTTCATAACCCAAGTCTTATCTGGGCTCACGGGGATTCATTACCCGGTTTTCACAAACGGTTTTCATTAACCGAAACATATCACGAGACATAATTCTCAACATGAATATATAATCAATCCATAATACCCAACAATCCGGGTTCCACAAATTTCCAAAACAAGCAAGTCATAAGTTCTGGGAAATAACATAATCAAGTCTCAACAAAAGGGTTCATAAAGCCTTATTCATACGGAAGCGATAAATAAAATTGACGGATCCACTCGCCTCTTCTCGTCACCCAGCTCCTGCTTAACCTGGATCGGTAAAGAGCAGGTGGGGATGAGCACTAGATGAAAAGCGTGCTCACCACTATGCACATAAATAATACATGTTTAGATGGTATGGTCGCAGTATGAATATAAATCAATCATCATCATGTCTCATCTCCTAATCACAACAATAACTCACTCATGTGCACATCTATCATTAGCCGCAGAAAGGGGATGCATAAACCGTAACGACGGGAGTGCGTGCCACTGTAACGGACACGGCCTTTCATTAGGTCTTAAGGAGACTGATATAGCCATACTGTCGTATAACGGTTTACACTATCAAGGGTTCCAGAATTACCGAGTCGACTTAGCTAAAGCCGACTCTCTCATCATATTCCTTATAATATCTCCAATTAGGGGTCCAAATGCCCTCCGGTCGACTCCTACATGTCGACTAGTAAAAGTCGATTTCCTGCGAGGCGACGGTCAAAAGCATATCAGGATCCATTAGCGATTGAGTATGACCCAGTCGACTCGAGTCGATTGGATCAAGTCGACTGAAGAAGTCTGGAAGCCCATAAATCTCGACAACTCTAATACACTTCAGCATATCGAAGGGAAGCTAAGGATAAGGAAGGATCTAGAAGCTGACTAGGAATGGACGGAATGCGAACCGACTGGGGTAGTTTGGACATTTCCAGTAAGTCGACCGGGGCATTTTGGGGACTTCAGGTAAATGTTCCATTTCTATATATAAAGGAGCTGAGGTAACTCCAAAACCCTAACTCCCATCCATTCCACATTCTTCCCCATTGCTGCTGCTTCCTCAGAGCAGCTCTTTTCACACTTTTCACATACTGACTTGAGCGTCGGAGGCTCTACGCCAGAAATCCCTCCAGCGTTGAGTTCTTGCAGGTTTTTTCGCGGTTCGATAGCAATTTGGAGACAATCAAGACAGATCTGAGCTCGTTCTCATCGGTTCATTCCAGATCCGGGCGATTTTCCACCGGTTCACCCCAGATCCGAGAATAGACCCATCATTTGGCGCCGTCTGTGGGGAGTTCTTGAAGGAATTAAGAGCTTTACACCTAGTTTGGATCTGTTTCTGATGGCTGAGAAGGAAGGATTGCAGAAAAACTTGAACGAGGATTTCAGGGCAGCATGGACTGACAAGCGACCTCCGCCGATTCCCAACCCCAAATCACCGCTCCAAGTGTTCGGTTTCCCACCGTTTAGGGCACACGCGCCGTCAGGAAGGTGTATGGAGGAAGAGACGCCTATTACCCCACCCGGAGTCAAGATCCCAGTTCTCACCCAAGGGGAGGCCAGTCACGTGAAGGACACGAGCGGAGAAGCGGATGGTCACGTATCGACCGAAACATCTTTGAGATTGGAAAGGCAGCCTGGGCGACTTGATCAGGAGACAAGGCCACCACCCCAAATCGTGGAACAAACACTGACCATGACGAGAAGCGAGATGCAGAGGATGATTGCCGAAGCTATAGCAGCCCAAATCAAACAGACTCGGGTCGAACAGCTTAGGATCGAACAAGCTAGGGTCGAGCAGCCCCAAAATGAACAACAACCCCTTGAACGCGAACAGCAGGCGCTGTCACATGAAAGGCAGAACAAGAGGGCAGATGAAGAGGAATCCTCTGTCTGGACTGTCAATCCACAGGCGAGAAACGACACCCTGGAGCAGTTGTTAGCGCAGGTGCTAGATTTGCAGGCTCGAGTCGAGGGGAGAAAAACAGGAAGCTCGAGGGGACATCCTTTTTCACAACACATTCTAGATGCTGACTTGCCTTAGGGGTTTAGAGAACTTAACATCTGGTACGATGGGTCGACTAACCCCTCTCGACATCTGAGGAGTTTTGAAAACATGGCGGTGTTGCACCGCTACAATGACCCCGTTCAATGTCGAGCGTTCCTGACGACCCTGCGAGGACCAGCGCAGGATTGGTTCCATCAATTGCCCCCAGGAGCCGTCAGAGACTTTGATGGATTTAGCTCAAGTTTTCTAAACCAATTCGCGAGTGTAAAAGCCCAAGAAAAGTCTTACCTTACTTTGATAGGTATGCAACAGAAAGAAGGAGAATCATTGAGGGACTATGTGGCGAGGTACACACGGGCATGTGTCGACGTCCCCTCGGCCACTGAGAAAATCAAGTCGGGAGGACTCACTCGAGGGTTACTCCCGGGACTGTGCAGAAATTCCCTAGCAAAGCGACCCGGAAGGACGTTCGACGAGGTATTGGGAAGGTGCGCCAAATACATGAATGTCGAGGAAGCCGAAGCTGACTTTTTACAAGCGGGTAAAGCAAAAACTGAGTCTCGGGACGAGAAGAAGGATAGAAAACTGGTCTCGACGGTTGAAAGGAAGGGATCCCCGAAGTCAGAGAGAGAAGACCGATCGAGGGGATGGAGGGCGACCCAATATACTCCTCTGTTAGCCTCGAATGCAAGGATATTGGAAGTGATGGAGAAAGAGATCCGCGAAAATGTTGTCAGGTGGCCACGAACAAGAAAGGATGGGCCGACAAAACTTAAAAGCAATCTGTATTGTCGATTTCATAAAGACTACGGCCATAACACCGATGAATGTCGGCACCTGAAAACTGAGATTGAGAGGCTAATCAAAGCAGGCTATCTTAAGGAATTCATTTATAAGGATCGAGAGCGAACCAGTCGACGAAGGGAGAGAAGCAAAAGCCCTCACAAGAGAGCGAGGACACCCAACAAGGAGGAGCTCCCTCAGAAAAGAGGGGTAATTCATATGATATTCGGAGGGCCGACTGATGGAGATTCAAATCGGGCCAGAAAGGCATATGCTCGAGGGCACCACAGAAAAATTGAAGTGCAGCAGGTCGAAGAAAACGTTCCAGTGATGAATTTTGGACCAGCAGACATGGGAGATGTCGAGAGGCCTCACAACGATGCCCTAATGATCACAGCTCAGATATCGGGCTATGAAGTGCAAAGGATCTTTGTCGACACAGGAAGCTCAGTAAATATGATCTTTTACAATTGCCTTAAGTGGATGGAACTCGACATCGAGCTTGCACCCCTGCACACCTCGCTCTTCGGATTCAATGGCTCGGAGGTCGCACCCCTGGGACAAACCACGCTCGCTATCGTCCTCGGGGAAGGCGGCTTGAGGAAGGTAAAAATGGTGCGATTTGTAGTGGTCGACGTCGAGTCGGCCTATAATGTGATTTTGGGAAGACCCGCACTCAACACATTCCAAGCAGTAGTGTCAACCTACCACATGAAGCTAAAGTTCCCCATGGGAGATAAGGTAGGGGAGGCTCGAGGAGACCAGAGATTGTCGAGAACCTGTTACCAGATAGCAGTGAGAACAAACCAACGGACGGAGGTGAAAGAAGGAAAAAAGCCGATGTCAAACGAAAAAAGACAAAGGGAGAGCGACCTAGAGCCACATGGAGAATTAATGGAAATTCAAATCGGGGAAAAAGAGGAGCAGACCACTAAAGTAGGGAGAGAGTTGGAAGACGAGTTGCGTCAACAGTTAGTGGGACTGTTGAAAGAATTCAGGGACATATTTGCTTTTTCCCCTGAAGAGTTAACAGGAATCGATCCCGATGTCATGGAGCATAAGCTTAATGTCGACCCCTAAAAAGCCCGTGAAACAACGGCTTAGGCACCATGGCGTAGAGATCGACAAAGCCATAGAAGTCTAGGTGGATAAGTTGCTGAAAGCCAAACATGTCAAATAAATTCAATTCCCAGAATGGATATCAAACACATTGATGGTGAGGAAAGCGCTAAATAAATGGCGTATGTGTATTGATTTTTGCAATCTAAATTTAGCTTGCCCAAAGGACCACTACCCCCTACCGAGAATCGACCAGCTGGTCGACTCCATAGCTGGCTGTCAATTGCTAAGTATGATGGACGCGTCCCAGGGATACCACCAAATTCCCTTGGCTCCTGAAGATCAAAGCAAAGTTAGCTTCGTGACGAGCAAAGGGACATATTGTTATGTCGTTATGCCTTTCGGGCTTAAGAACGCAGGGGCAACATACCAAAGGTTGATGGATCGAATGTTCAAATCGCAGATCGGGCAAAATATGGAAGCTTACGTGGACGGTATCTTGGTGAAAAGTAGGTCCTCGATCTCGCATGTAGAGGACTTAAGGGAAACGTTTACGACACTAAGAACATTTGGAATGAAGCTAAAACCGAGTAAATGTGCCTTTGGAGTGAGGGCAGGACGATTCCTGGGCTATATCGTAACTGAAAGAGGCATCGAAGCTAATAAGGATAAAGTGCAAGCCATACTCGACATGGCCCCGCCAAAGAATGTTAGAGAAGTGCAAGTCCTGACATGTCGAATTGCAGGCCTAAGTCGATTCATAGCTCGGGCAGCGGAAAGGAGTTTCCCATTCTTCAAGTTACTCAAGAAAAAAGCTTTTCAGTGGAGTGACGAGGCTCATATGGCGTTTGAAAAGTTGAAAGAGTTTTTGAGCGAACTACCGTTGTTAACAAAGCTGGAACCGGGCGACGAATTGGTGCTCTATATCTCGGTGGGTATCTTTTCTTTGAGTTCTGTATTACTGCGAGAAGCTGGAGGGGCCCAACAGCCGATCTATTATACAAGTCGAGTACTTGAAGGCGCAGAAGCGAGATATTCCGAAGTCGAGAAGGCCGCATTAACATTGGTACTCACAGCCAGAAAATTGAGACTGTATTTCCTGAACCATGTGATAATAGTAAGGACGAATTTCCAGCTCGGAGAGACCCTGGGTCGACCTACCGTGTCGGGTCGACTTGTAAAGTGGGCGGTCGAACTTAGTGATTTTTCCATCAAATATGAACCTCGACGAGCTATAAAGGCCCAAGCTCTAGCTGACTTTATCCAAGAAGGGACTAAAGGGGCAAGCAAGAAATGGATAATGCACGTCGATGGGTCCTCGTCAGCCAGGGGATGGTTTGGGAGTAGTCCTAGTATCTCCCGAAGGTGAGCAGCTCGACTTCGCCATCAGAATGGGGTTTAAGGCCTCAAAAAACGAAGCAGAATACGAAGCTCTAATTAAGGGGATCCAACTGGCAATCGGGGGAGGAGCGACGGAAATCATGGCACATTCTGACTCACAGCTTGTTGTGGGGCAAGTATTGGGAAATTGCGAAATCAAAGAGGATCGGATGATAAAATATGTCGAGGAAATTCAGAGCTTGGTGCAAGGCTTAGAAAGTTTTGAGCTGACGCAAGTGCCTCGAGAAGAAAACAAGCGAGCCGACTGGCTCGCAAGAATCGCAAGTTCGAATGAAGGAAAAATGGGGAATCATATTACCACACTGCACCTAGAAGGGAGTGTCCTAAGTGAGACAATGGAGGTCGATGAAAAGCAGGATTGGCGAAGAGCAATCCGCGAGCTATTACAAAGTCGAGTGCTAGAAGGAGATAAGCAGGAGGCATTGAAAGTAGCCCGATATTTGAGTAAATATTATGAGATCGAAGGAGTTTTATATAAAAAGTCAATGGTCGGACCCCACCTACGATGCGTTTCTGAAGAAGAAGGGGACCATGTCTTGAAGGAGATCCATGAAGGATGTTGCGGAGCGCATATAGGATCACGAGCCCTAGCTGGCAAAGCCCTCCGAGCAGGCTATTATTGGCCCAAGATCCGAAAAGCAACTGAACAATTAGTACAAGGATGCAACAGATGCCAGCGCCATGGTCAAATCCCCCACATTCCAGCCGAGGCAATGACGACAATCAACTGCCCCATCCCTTTTGCTCAATGGGGAATCGACTTGGTAGGTCCATTACCGATGGGAACAAGACAAAGGAGATTCGTAGTGGTCGCTGTCGACTATTTTAGTAAATGGGTGGAGGCAGAGCCTCTGGCAAAAATCACTGAGGACAAAATGATACAATTCTTGTTCAATAATATCTGCTGTCGATTCGGAATCCCAAAGATCTTGATTTCGGATAATGGAACGCAATTTCAAAGAAAACGGATCCAGGCGTGGTGTATCGACATGGGGATCAAGCAGCGATTCACCTCGGTTGCGCACCCATAGGCAAATGGCCAAGTCGAAGTAACAAACAGAACCATCCTGCAGGGGCTAAAGAAAAGATTAGAAAAAGCATCTGGTGCATGGGTCGACGAGCTGACAACGGTCCTATGGGCCTATAGGACGACCCCAAGAAGTTCAACAGGACAATCACCATTCCACATGGTTTATGGAATGGACGCTCTACTGCCCATTGAAGTCGGCTTTGAATTTCACAGGTCGACATTCTATACAGAAAAAACCAATGAAGAGTTAGCAAAAGAAGCCCTCGACATGATAGAAGAAGTGCGAGAGGAAGCCTGGCTGCGATCCGTGGAGTACAAGCAGAAGATGCGTACAGTCTTTGACAGGAAAGTCCGCACCAGACGATTTCAAGTGGTAGACCTTGTCCTCAAGCGAGCAGATGCTCTTAAACATGTCGGGAAGCTGGAAGCCAACTGGGAAGGACCTTACACCATCACCAAAGTGCTCGAAAGAGGCGCATACAAACTCGAAGATGGCGAAGGATGACAGTTTCCGCGATCCTGGCACGTGATTCATCTCAAACGCTTTTATGTCTAAGTATTTCAAACTCTTTTTGTACTGAACAATGGCTAATCAAATTCAGTAATGCAATGACTCTCAATTTTATGTTTAAGTTGGGATTTTTTATATTTCCATGTCGATTTTATCATAAATAGAAAAACAAGTCATTCAGAACGGCTATAAAGCCGGTTAACGCAAACAACTACAAAGTTGAATGCCTCGAGCGAAATCTCGGCAAGGCTATAAAGCCCACGACTATAAAAGTCGACTCAAACAACTACAAAATTGAATGCCTCGAGCGAAATCTCGGCAAGGCTATAAAGCCCACGACTATAAAAGTCGACTCAAACAACTACAAAGTTGAATGCCTCGAGCGAAATCTCGGCAAGGCTA